TTTATATTATTTATAAAAACTTTTCAGCTTATTTATATTTTAATTAATAATATTCTTAAATTTATTCTTTATTATACTAAATTAGCCTTCTACAGAAATATCTAGAACTTTATATAAAGATTATAAAAATAGAAGTAATACTTGAAAGAGAGAAGTTATAAATAAAAAAAAATATAAAAAAAGAAAGTTATAAAGAAGAAAATTATAAAAAAAAGAGTTATAAAAAAAAAGAAAAATATAAGATCTCTAATAAAGAAAAAATAAAGTAACAGTAAATAAACTGTAAAAAATATATTTAATATAATAAATAATAAGTAAAATAACTCTTACTAGATAGATTTAAAAAGAAAACTAATCAGTTTTCTACAGTAGTAAATAGCTATGAAATAAGCTTTAAATAATTATATACTTAAATATAGTTTATATATATAGTATAAATATTAGTATAATTATTATATACAATATAATAGAATATTTATTATATATTTTAGTCAGTAATTATTAGTAATAGTTATACAACTAGCCACAACCCCCAGCAACTTACGCCAGCGGCCTACTATGTATGTATATCGCATCCTATATTTAGTCTGTAGTGTAGTGAGTAGTAATAGACAGAGGTAATAACCTCCGAGCGAAAATTCCATGATTATTCTATGGTATATCTTATCTCAAACTTTGGATAGATAATTGTAAATGAAAACTACCGAGGCGAATGTTTCCTCCTTGCATGTGTAGTAGATAAGTTACTACTTAGTAACTGAGGATTGACCCGTGATCTTCTTCCTCCCCCGGCCAGCCCGTCCGGTCGGGGAACTTTGAACGGCTGTATGCAGACATTTTGATTGGTGGGATTCGCGAACGAATCGGCAAGGCGGGATTTGCATTCCTTCAGTTTTGGGGGATTATTAATCATCAGTTGACCACTTTGTGGTTAGTTATCTGTTGGACTTAATTGTATCTATAGTCTGGATGTAAGTTAATAACATGGAGTTAGAATCTAGGAAATAATAAAGATAGTAATACATTTATTAAGTCATCATCAATAATACCCTTAGTTATTAACTCTGATATCGTACAATCGTAAGAGGCTTCCGCCATTTCTCGTACGTAGCCTGCCGCACAGGGTTCTCATTTCCCTTAACCATGGGTCAGCCATCACATCATCCATCCATTCCATTTTATGGCGTGGTTAGTAAGTAAGCAGTGTGACTCAACAACGCCCCCTTCTAACCAACTATAGCTGGGAAAGGAGGGAAGAGTCGACGTCACCTGTGGCTGACTGCTGCTGTGCTGTGCCAATTGTCCAGTTGCCACTTGGAGGGGAGGAGGAGGTGGGTGGTAGGGTAAGGGAGGGATGAACTCATTCCCTTTGGGTTTTTGTGACCAAATCCGCATGAATTATAGATGGTGTAATCACAACTACATAAGACATGCTGTACTGTGACCACGGAATAGATCACCTATTTAAGAAAAGAAGAAATTATAATATATAGTTCTAAGTTGGATAAAAGGCATAAACATTGCAATACCGGCAGTGCCAAGGCCAGTAGACTAGGCTGCACTCTGCACTCTGCAAGCTGAGAGCTGAGGGTAGACCGCCATGTGGGAATGAATGGATGAGGGGGGAAGAGAGTGTGTGTGGGAGATGTGTGGATGAACGGAAGGATCGGGCGGACAGACGGGATAGGATGGAAGTTCTAGAAAAAAAAATAAAAAAAGATGGTGTGTGTGCGCGAGGGAGGGGAGTCAGTTCAGTTCAGTGTAGTCAGTCAGTCAGTGTCTGCCGAAGGAAGGGAATGAAGGAAGGAAGGAAGGAAGCGGGCGGGCAAGGCGGCCAGAACAGCAATCCACATCCATTCATTCCTCACTGACCACCTACTAACCAGTAAACTAGTCACTATTAAGGTAGGTGGTTAGGCTGTTACACTGACTCGTTGTCGGTGCTTTGCTTTGCTGGGAAACCTGTACTTGTTTAGTATCTGGGCCGTCGTGTCGCTTTGTGGCTGGCGATCGACGGGACATGAACCCTTCTCTCCCCCAGGGTTCGTGAGTTTAAGAGTTTAACGGTGAGGGTAAAAGGGAAGTACTTAGTACAACTGCCAGGAAAAAAAAACAATAATATTAATGTGTGGATTCAAACAGTTAAGTAAAATAAATTGCACAATAGTAGTACGTACCTCAACCCAAGATGATGGGGAAAATGGGGAAACTGACTTGTTGATGTCATTTGTTTAGTTTCAGTTTCCAGGGTTGAAATAGAGCCACTTTGGATCAAGCCCGCTCATCGTCATTTTAGCCGGTATCTAATCTAGACCCTCGAAAATGATATTAAGATAGCAAGAGTAATTTGGGATGGCCGAAAAATTTCCTCCCCGGTGATGATGATGACGATGAAGAAGATGGAGAGGACAAGTATGTTTAACCAGTACAAGTTAGTGTAGTGAGCGTGCACCAAGTGATTGAATAATAATAATAATAATAATTACAACCAGCGCAGGGAAATTAAATCATCCCTCCTTCCAGCGCCCGGCTAAGGCGCCAAGCCCCGCCCGGGAAATTCTAGAAAACCAACAGAGTCCAGCCTGGAGCTAATGAGATCGCTTGCTTAAGCGTCATCTTTCTCCACTTTTTTCTTTTCGCTCTCTTTCTGTTTTCTTACCTTCTCTCCGCTCACTCTATCTCTTTTCGGGTTGCCTGTTTTTCCTTTTTTCCTTTTGTGTTCTTTTTCTTTTTCCCTGTACTGTCATTTGTGGTTCCTTTGGTTCTGGACGGGCAGCAACTGAGGGGGGGGGGGGGGGGGTTTACGTATCCTGTGTCCTTAATCTCTCCACTGGTTCTTGTGGTTTCTTCGTTCAGGGCAATTGAATCATAGTAATCATAATAGTTATTATTATTAGTATTAGTATTAGTATTATCATTATTATAATACTCATCGGGCATAATAATGCCTGAATAAATACTAAATTTATCATTTTATTCTAATTTTTTTTTATCGTCCTCATTAGGTTGATTAATGAAGGTGAATCCCTGGGTGGTGCATTGGCAAGTCACACACTCCTGCAATGAATCTGCATCCTGGCAACTTCCATCGAGGTTCTAGTCGAATTCCTTACATCGGTCAGCCGAATACAGGCAACAAACGAGGAGTCCAGATGCACCACCAAGAAAGAGAGCGAGCGAGCGAGCGAGAGAAAGAGCAGGGAAGTGGGGAGGAACACACAGCCGATCGTACCTATCTAGCTTAGACTTGACTCAGGTCAAGACTCGACTCTAGTAACAAAGTAAGTATCTAACCCGGGATTAATCTGTTCAGCTCCGAGGCACGCCCGTCACTAGTCGGAGGAGTCGATTGCATGGTCAGATCGTCCCCATCCTATCGGAAACCTGAAACCCTCGAGGAGAACGAAGTCGGAGGAAACAGACAGACACTCAGACGCCCAGACAAATAGTAGGCTGAGTGGCAGAGTCGAGGCTGTTTGGTCACTTTGGTGATTGTTGTTGTTGTTGTTATTGTTATTATTGTTGGTTGGCCTGTGTGTATGTGAGTGTTTGTGTGTGTGTGTATCGGATCTGTAATCACATTACCATACGGGATACCCACCCACAGCCTTCAATTGGATCTGACGACGACGACGCAAGCCTGCCGTGCCGCAGAGCTTCTGGAAGACTGGCAGAATCCGCAGGAATCCCCAGCAGCAGGAAGTACGAACCTTGTTGAGCTTGTGGTGGTTAAGTTGCTGTCGAAGAACTCTCTGCTTATTTGTGGTTTACTACTAGTTAGTTAGTTTATAGTGAGTAAATGAAGAAATGTCATGTCAATAGCCTGTCAGTCAAAAAGTGTGTCTGGTTTCTCTTCATCTTGACTGTCAATCAAGACTTCATCTTGGGTTCATCTGGGGAATTCTGCTAGTGATTCCAATTCTCCATCTTCTGCCCGCATTGTCCACGAACCTCTTTTCCCTCTAGTCTCTAAGGTCTTCTTCCTTCCTCCTCTTCCTCTCTGTCTCCTCTCCTCTCCTCTCCTCTCTCTCCTCTTCTTTCCTTCCTGCTCGGTTCCTCACCACCAGCACCACCACCACTTACTTACCACCCCGGTCATTCCCTCATCTCTTACCTTCTTTCTCTTGTCTCTCTTTCTCCCTCTCTCTCTCTTTTTCTTTTCACCCTTTCCTTATCATTCCTAAAATCTTTCTTACATAACTCAAAAAAAGCTTCCACTTCATCCACTGTTCCTTTGACATCATCCGTGTCTCCTCTCTTGACATCCTTTCTTATCTCCAACTCTCTCACTCTCTGACCCTTGGGTCCCTTTTCCCCTTGATTTCCCCACGACCACCACCACCACGATCTACTGATTTCATATTTTATTCCCCGTTTTTCTCCTCCCCCCCCCCCCTCCCTCGATTTCCGAGAAGTGGTTCACTGGGGATTAAAAATTACAGATCCCTTAAAATATCTCTTATTTTATTTTATATATTTATCACTTATTTTACCCTTTTTTACTTTTACCTAATCCATCGACTCTTATTCTTTTTTTTTTTTTTTTTTTTTTTTTTCTCTGCCACAACCCACATCCCAGCCCAGACCCGACCCGGTCGAACCATCCACCCAAGCCAACCTTCGCCCACCCGTGCGGCCCCTTCGCCCTCTCCTCCCGATCGATCTTCTTTTCCCTCTCCACCCTTCTTCTTTCCTCAAAGTCTCGTGTCATCTTTTCTCCGTCTGGTCTTCACGGTGGCCCACCATGACGCCCTAAGTCTTTGGTTCTCTCTGGGTCGCGAATTTCATCGCTTTAATCTAGCCGAATTCTCGCATGTGTCGCGATCTCTCTGTCTTCCCCCGTTGGGTCGATTTCACTCGGGCGCCATCTTCCTCCCCCCCGTGGGTGACGAACTGACTACACACCACCACCACAACCACCTTCACCACTTCACACCACCACTACTACCACTCCCACCTCTCTCACCATTGACCGAATTCCTACCATTCTCTTCGCCTTTTTAAATTTCCTTCTTACCTCTGTCGACTCTCTTCCACACCTGTGAGTGAAACAATCCTGTGTGTTTGCGTGGGCAACTGCCTGTGTATGCAGGTGTGGCGATCGCAGCCAACCGCCGTCTGGAGGCGTGCATGCGGTGCCGGTGCAAAAGAACCCGGTTGTCTCAGAATGGGTTTTGGCTGGTCCTGCACGTTACCATCATTCCTCTCACCCCCCCCACAGGGTCGAAGGATTATCGCTCATTCTCCTGCTGGACAGCTGCAGCCAACAAACTCATTGTTCAACTGCGCGCACCCCCCTCGACGGCGGCTTGTCGCCGTCGCTCATCTGCTTCGCTGGTCGCTGCACACTCTTCTTTCTCTTTTTGTCGCCTGCTCCTGTCGGCGCTCGCATATTCTGCAGACCGTTGCGTCCAGTCTCTGACCCTCGCTGACCCAGTCTAGAAACCAATCTAGAACCCAACTGTATAACGTCACCGATCGCAAGTCTCTCCTTTTTCACTTCGACTTTCTCAACGCTCCTTCGCTCCTCTTTGTACCGTGTACCGGCCGTTCGTTCCTCCTTGAGATTTCTCGACCCTCCCACACCACCTGTACTACTATATCCATCAACCATATGAACCCGAGTTCGGACCGGCTAGGCTGTTATATATTCTCCTCTCACATCTGTTATTGTCCTGAGACTTGACATTCCGGAGTGGAGACCCCCCTAGATGATGGGTGTTTCAAATCCAACCGACACCATGGATGGCATCGAATGCTCTGCAATTTATATCGACCACCGTGTCCGATCAGAACGCTGGGTGTATCAAGGTACTCCGGAGGCACCGGCAGGCGCGGAGTCGGATTCGGGAACAATCGAGGAACCGGAATCGTTGTCGGCCGACATTCAAGTTCTGTTAGGAGTTTGTAAACGCATCTATCTCTGTCAGGTCGGCACCGCTATCGCAAACAAGTTAGCAGAGATAAGCGACGGGGCTCAGAGTCGCTGCACACCTATCTTCGTTTTCTTCGACATTGATATACACGGCGAGGAGGCCGCTCTGCAGCGCCGCCGAGCGAGCCGTGGTTCGTGGCCCGATGTATCGCCTCCGTCGCCGGCGTCCCTGCGTCGCGGTTTTACATTCACCTCACAATGGGAAGGGGCGTACGACCTGAAGTTGCTGTCAGGGTTGTCCGCGGACATCCAGGTTCAAGATGGCCCCAACGTGATCGTTCCGGTCGCTGTTCTGCGCCCTCCCTTCGCCGACCCCACTAGCGCCTCCCCGGCCGACCAACCCCGTATTCCGTCTTTCCCGGATCCTCAGCATATCTCCAAGTGCCTGGATGCTGGTGCCGTGGACGTGTTAGTAACCCCGTTGGATAGCTGTAGAGCTCAAGCTCTGGTTGTCCAGGCGTACCGGACTCGTAAAACGGCTCTCCGGGAACAGTCGCGCTTCCTCTCCCGAAAGAAATTGCGGAAACACTCGTGGGTGGGCGTCAATGACGAGCAGCCCTATGCGTATCTTCGAGAAGCCATGGTCTCCAAGCTCATGCGAGGCATCTGCAATCCCGAAGAGGTTATTGAGGAGTTCCAGGACCGGGAACTGGACGTTCGTCCGGACCGCGCGGATTTTGTAAGAGAACACATTGCACAATGGGGTTTTACCGCCCATGAGTTTTCGGACGATGAATTGGTCTTGGCTGCATTCGAAATGCTGCAGCATGCTTTGCAGTACCCGGAACTGGAGCAGTGGCAGCTGACACCAGGTAAGTAAATTGCCGCATAAATTGGTTTAGTGTAGGTCAACTGACGACGGGACTCCCTTTCCTAGGTGAACTCCGCACGTTTCTTCTCGCCTGTCGCGCCTCATACAATTCGTTCGTTCTCTACCATAACTTCCGACACGCGATCGATGTGTTGCAATCGGTCTTCTGCTTCCTATTGCACATCGGCGCTCTTCCCCCCTATGGGCCTAATAGCCCGACGGTCGGCGACAAATGTCCGATCGCATCCCTCCTCACTCCGTTCGATACCCTTACCCTTCTGATCTCCGCCATTGGCCACGACGTCGGCCATCCGGGCGTGAACAACTTCTTCCTGGTCAAGCTGAATGCCCCGCTGGCACAACTATACAACGACAATTCAGTCTTAGAGGCATTCCACTGTGCTGCCTTCTCCCAGATCCTGCGCCGCTACTGGCCGACCGCATTCAAGGATCGACAACTTCGCAAGCTTCTGATCAGCTCTATTCTCGCCACGGACATGGGAGTGCACCAGAAATTCATGGAACGGCTGGGGTCGCTCCAGGAAAAGTTCCACGAAAACAACCGGACTGTGGATGGGTGGAAGCCCCAAGACTTGGAGCTTTATAAGACACTGCTGTGTGGGCTGCTGATCAAATGCGCTGATATCAGTAACGTGGCGCGCCCGTGGGATGTTGCGGAGAAGTGGACCCAGATCCTGCAGGAGGAATTCGCCAATCAGGGCGAGATGGAGAAGGAGGTTGGGATGGAGACTGCACTATTCGGCGGCCCACCGGAATTAGGGAATATTTACAAGCTCGCCACCGGCCAGATTGGATTCATGTCGATTTTCGCTTTGCCGCTGTTCGAGGGCGTGTCCGACATTCTGCCCGACCTGAAGTTCACGGTCGAGCACATCCGCAGCAACCAGTCGAAATGGCATTTTCTCGCCGACATGGAGAAGAATCGGCAAACCTTGCAGACTGATCTTCGTCCGGACGACTTGGTGTCGCCCCGCACTCAGAGTCCCATCCCAAGTTTGAGGGGCCTCCACGCGCCGCTAGCCATCAATAGTCCGAAAACCCCCATCAAACCAGCCCTTCCGACCAGTGAACCTGCGAGTCGGCGGTCAACCCCAGATGATTACTTTGGTACCGCTCCTACCCCGCTGGGCTCGGACGATGCGCCTAGCGACTATAATGAGAACACTATTAGTCCCGTTGTTTCGCCGGACACGCCGGGCCCGTCTATGGACATCACCGGGTGTTCGATGCCATCGCCAGATGAGGCAGCCTCTCGCAGATCTTCTGGGGTTATCCCTGAGGGGCAGGCCAGCACGCCTTCTGCTCGTCTGAGCGACAATATGGACGGTTGCTCCGACGCAATTCGTGCTTCGAGTGACCCCACCGTTCTGGCGGCTGTCCTGTTTGCCAATGGCTCTGCTGCAGGCAACGGCGACACGTCGGGTCGCTCCAGTGCTCGTAACAGCTCCGTGGAAGGGAGACCGAGTAGCTCGCGACATGGGCCGCCTAATGGTCGACGCCAGCACGCGAATACAGCCTCGTCGGGACGCACATCGGGGCCCTCGAATTCACAGCGGAACAGTTGCACTCGCACGCACAGCGTCAGCACCTACAGCAACAACATGACACCGATCTCTCCGTCTACGAATGCCACTAGTTTCCTCAGCGTGGACAGCGATGACAAGGGCTTCCCCCGCGAAAGCATCAGTCGGAGTGACGGCGAATGGGACCGGGCGTACACGCGACCGGCCACATCGAACCACCCACAGGTCAGCGCTGCATACCCGAGCACTCGCCGGGCTTCCGATCCGCACAATTACGATGCTGCCAAGGTGACGTCGCCGGTGGGGAATGGAACGAGCAGCTCGGCACAATCGACGACGACGACTGGAAGCATGAAAAACGATGGGCGTGGGCCCCGGTGGGACGAGCACGGGTCCAAGGAGCACGCACCACCGCGCAAGCTGCCGAAGCGACGAAGCCGACTGCGGTTGGCGTTCTGGAAGCGGCGCACACATCACTCGCATCAGCACGAGCTGAGCGGGGAGACGTGATGGCCCCGAAAGTTGAATTGGATTTCAGTTTTCTCTTGTTTTCTCGTTTGGGATGATTCACGGTGTTCCTGGCGGGTTGGATTTTCGCGAGTGAGCAAAACGAGGGTTGGGATTACATGGGCACATATGAATGGGAAACATTCTGGTGACGACTCTGGATTTTATGATGGAATTGCATGATTTGACGACCGGCTCGGTGGATATAGCTATATCTGAGCTTTTGACGATGATGCACAGCCAGACATTGCGCTGGTCTGGCTGGCATGGCACTTTACTTCGATACTCTTTCTTTCTTTCTTTCTTTCTTCCTCTTCTTCCGATCTTTTCTCTCTTCTTTCACTTCACATTATCCATTTTACACATTGACCATTTCATTTTCATTTGTCACCATACAGAGGCGGGCAGGACGGGGCAACTAGAGACGGGGCGTGGACTGGCGTTCTGGAGGTGGCTCAGGCAGGACTGTACTTGATATTTTGTATGGGTTTATTCCTTTTAAATGGACTTGAGCATATATGCTTGTTTGCATTTACATGATGATTCTATTGTTGAGTAGATGATCACTGACACTCCTCACACCTGTCGCCTTCTTTCGTAGTAGTAGCAGTAGTAGAACCCTGCTCCTCACTCTTCCCCACAACCTTCATCTCACCCCCTTCTTGACTCTGCACCGGCACATTCGCAGCCCTCAAGGCCCGATCCGTATGTCCCAAATCCCTACTGGGATCGACGACATTCCTCACCAGACTTTTCAACACTTTGACTTCTACATATGCATATGCAGCTGATTAGCATCCTACCCCTACCCCTCCTGACAAACAAACAAATAAATGAAAGAGAATGTTAACATACCAGGGAAACCCCCATTCGTCTTCCTATCCCAGAGAATTATCTCAGTGATATCATCAACCTCCTCCTCCTCCTCATTTCCATTCCCATTCCCAGTTCCTGCTACTGCTACTGGTACCTCTTCACCTTGTGCTGTACCCGTAGATGTAGAAGAACCAGAGGTAGTAGTAGAAGAAGAAGAAGAAGAATGATACATCGTAACAGTAAACACACCCCCCGTCGCAGGAACGAGAGCTACTTCGCCGAGTTGGGTGCTGAATGTGGAGAGGAGTTCTTGGGCGAACTGTTTCCAAATTAATACCATTGTTAAATGATTAGTTATTTTAGGAGTATGTGTATGTGTAGAGAATATATGTATGTATGTATGTATGTATGCATTATGTATAGAAGTTAGGGGATGAGGGTTGGGGTGACTTACGTATGCAGCGCGCAGTAACCATTTACATTGAGTGCAGTATTTGATGGTGATGCGGGGGAGGTGGTTGTGCATGTTGTTTGTTCCCTTGGGTTTGGTTGTGGTAATTGTGGTTGTGGGTTGGGTGAGGGGTGGGAGGGGGGAAGTCATTTTTCTTTTCTTTCTATCGGATGCTTTGTATCTTTGGTGGTGAGGTTTAGGTGGATGGTAGTGAAAGAAGAACGGGTAAGTAATTGTGTGAAGAGTAATTAGTTAGTAGTAGCTAAGTTGGAGGGGATGATTGGATGATGTCAGCGGGTGGGTGGTGGTGGGTTCTCTGAGTTAACTAGTTGACTACTTAAGTAAATAACGATTTGGCTAAACGTTAACTATAGTATAGAATTAACTTAACTGTCTCATGTACGGCCAGTGCAGGTGTCAATTAATTTTAAAAAGTATTCTCCGAAGTCCGGGTTGTTGCATATGATCCATTCTGTGATCTGCCTTTTTCTTTACTTCGCTGCTTATCTGAAATACTGTGTAGGTATGAGCAGTTGCTTCAACTATATTAACTAGCCCATCTATACTACAAACCGGGCGTCCGATTTTGTTTTCCCCATCCCGTTTCCAATATCACTGCTAACACAAAGGAAAGATGTCCAATAAAATCACTAGAAGGGAAATGACTCCTGTCGAGCACACTCTCACGCCCAACACAAAATGAGAAAATAAAGAGAAAAAAGGTGTAACTGGAAGCCCGCGGGGAGCCGTATGTCGCGTTTCAAGGTGAAAATCAGATCATGAACTGGTCCAATGGTGCGACCGCTCAGTCCCTCCCAGTTCATGCAGGTCCAGCGCGCTCCCTCGAGGGCCAGAGCCTCGCATCCGCTTCTCCGTGGTCTCTCTTTTCTTTTTGTCGCTGACAATGCTCACCATTCGGAGCAATAAGGCGGATGGGCTGTCCATAGGTCCAAGGTATGGTGACAGAGAATTAGATATAGAAAGAAAAAGAAAGGGTTGAGAAGTTAAAAAAAAGAAGTGGTGAGAAAAAGTAATTGTCATCGCAAGAGGGGATATAAAAAGCGCCGACGGACTGACGGCGACCCTCAGTCCGTCCGAATCAAAAGACGTGGAAATGTCATGAGACCATTACATGACCGTGCAGCATCCTCCCTGCTGCTGAGGGGCGTATGGGTCCTCACGCTTGTCGACCTGCGCGACCGTCAGTAACCTGCTGTCATTGCTGCACAACCCGAAGCAAGTGGAGAAAGAATGTCGCATACCTGACCCCATACGGATGGTACCATGAAATCGCGCGTGTTGTTGCAGTAGTTGATCAACCTGGATAAAACGCGATGGGGTAAGTATCACGCGGTGGCTGGACGGGGGGCGGAGCACGACAGCCGGGGGAAACTTACGACAGAGCAGCCTCGGACACCTTGACACGAGGCCGGTCGAGGTCCTCCTTCAACCGAGCATTGAGCTCAGTCAAACGACGGTACTTGAGATCGGCCACACTCTGCTTCTTGTTCTTGACATCACCACCCGATCGGAGCTCGTAGGCAGGCATTTTAACGACGGTTGGAGCGGGGACGAAACGTGCGAAATCCGGGAAGTTAATCGAATTAAGTTGGAGACGTAAGCGCGACGATGAGATCGGGCGGCGGCGGCAGTAGCAGCAGCAGTTGCAGCGGAAGTGGAAGAGACGTTGGGGGTGGATGTGCCTGGAGGTGGAGGTGGAGAGGAAGCAAT